CGGCCCGCGTGGCTATTGAATACGGCCCGCTTTAAATTCTAAATCGACTAATTTAATTGAATATCATTTTGTATAAATATAATTGAACGTTGCGTTTTTGGTACGAGTATTTTATATAAGTCATATTATTATTTTAAGTTTTAGATAGTATTTTTTTGCATAATAAATAATGTAATTATAAATTTTTTTTTTTTTATCTGGCCCGCGAACTCTTTTTAATTTGTAAATGTGGCCCGAGAATTAAAAAAGGTTGCCGACCACTGCTCTATATAAAATATTCATACAACACAAAAATATTATATAAAACAGAACACACATATAAAATAAAGAATATACATGGAGACACGTCTTAGCCGACTCACGTCTGACTCACGATTTGACTTAATTTTACTTTCTTATAATACTTGATACCACTATCTATCTCCAGACCCTGGAAGTGGTGCCATCTAGATACCAATGGTACCCACATTTCGACCCTCTTCTTGATCAGTCGTCTCGACTGATTGACAGTTTTCCATCTCTTCTTCATCATCTGTATCTATTTGGCTCCATGGCTCATATAGTCAACACCAGATGATGTTCTAATGGGACCTTTAGACTCACCAATTTTGACCATTTCATATCTGTCTNTGGCTCCATGGCTCATATAGTCAACACCAGATGATGTTCTAATGGGACCTTTAGACTCACCAATTTTGACCATTTCATATCTGACTGTTTGGTTATTTGGTATGGGCCCAAAAACTTTTTATGAATTTTGGAAAGTGGCTTGAATTGTGTCCTCAAAATAGCAACCAAATCACCTAGGTGATACCTATGTGCTTCCTTTCTCTTTTTATTAAAAGTTTTATGCTGATCTTCTTGAGATTTAAAAATTTGTTCTTTTGCTTCCTTAAGCAATTCACCTCTCTCTTCCACAAAAGCATTTGTATATTCTTCCTCAATTATTTTAGTCAACTCAAAATATTGAGGATGTCTCATCTCAACACCGAATGTCAACTTGAATGGTGTCATACCGATGCTTCTCTGAAAGGAACTGTTTAGTGCAATTTCTACGTGAGCAACATTCTTGTACCAATGTTCGGACTGATCTAAACTTAATTTGGTAATGACTGGAATAATAATTGCATTTAATCTTTCTATTTACCCGTTACTTCTTGGTATTCTTGTAGTAATTGTTACATGTTGGATGTTTTCTTTTCTACAGTAATCAGAAAATCTTTGTGAAATAAAAGCTCCTTCATTATCTGACACAATTCTTTCTGGATTCCCAAAAGTAGTAGACAAAGTTTTCATTGTATCAATGGCTTCCTTACATGTAGTAGTCTTGGTAGGAAATAACCAACAAAATTTGCTAAAACCATCAATCACTGCAAATATATATTTGTATCCTTTAGCTGTAGCAGCTAATGGTCCCAAATGATCTATATGATAGGTAACTAATCGAAAATCACCTTTATTAATACTATTCAAATAACCTTCCTGCTTACCACTTTTTCGACTTGCCAATATACACGGAATACAATTTCTTACAATACTCTCAATTTTTGTTTTCATATTTGACATGGAATATTCTTTCTTCAATAGTTCTTCAACTTTTTTACATCCAAAATGTCCTATTTCATGTGCTTTTCTGATTACTTCCTTTTGCATGGATCTAGGAACAACAAACAATTTTTGGCCATCTTTCATCTCGTACAGTAGATCATGTTCAATTAAATAGTTTTGATGAGTCGAAACAGCTAGAACTTCCATCAATGCGCTAATCTCCGAATCCATTTTTTGGGCTCTTCGTAATTTAATCAAAAATTCATTTTCAATGGCTAAGCATACAGGATATCGACTAAGAGCATCAACATGGGGTAAACGAGGTCCACTTCGGTGTTCAACTGTATAACTAAATTCTTCAAGCAGTAAAGCCCATCTTGCAACTCTAGTCGCCAAATCCTTTTTTTTCATTGTCATTGTAAATGCAGCACAGTCAGTTACAATCTTAAATTGTATACCCAAGAGATAAACTCTAAACTTTTTCAATGCTTTAATAATAGCAAGTACCTCTAGTTTATAACTATGATATCTTTTTTGGGCATCACTGGTTTTTCTGCTAGAATAGTATACTGGATGAAAATTACCATCATAAGCATCCTTTTGTAACAATACAGCCCCAAAACCATTAGCATTTGTATGTAATGTAATCTTTTAAAACAAAGTTATATTAACTTTTTTCTATTAACCTATTTTTCTAAGATATATTATCTTAGAAAAATAGGAGGTGACACACACAGTCCAAAAGGGGTTCGCAGAAATTCATATTGCTCACTAGGTGTGACAAAAGAGGTATACTTAATGCTATCTTTATGAACTGGAACATGGAAAAATCCATTTCTCAAGTCAAGTGTTGTATAGACAGAAGCTCCTTGTAATTTATCTATTTGGTCATCTATTAATGGCAAAGGGTATCTATCTTTGATTATCTTCCTATTTAACATCCTGTAATCTACACAAAGACGTAGAGAGTTATCTTTCTTCTTGACCAAAACTATTGGACTAGCATAGACAGAAANAAACTATTGGACTAGCATAGTCAGAACAACTAGGTCTAATAATGTCTTCTTGTAACCATTCCTCTATTTGTTTGTCAACTTCACATGTTTCCGCTGGAGATAGGCGCCGTGGTCTTTGATATACAGGTTTTTCATCCATTAGTAAAATAACTGTTTCAATCGGTGCATGTTTTACTTTATTTGGTTCATAATCTTTCACTATATTATTAATTTCCTCTGTATAAGTTGATGCACCTATGTTGAGCTTATTACAAGGTATATTAATAGACATTATTTGGTTTTCTTCTTCTTCAAATTTAGTTATTCTCACACACTTAGGATTTATGTGCAGTTCAGCACTTGTTTGAAATATAACTTTTCCTACTAACAGGTCACATGTAATGGCTTCATCAGGAACAACATAAATATCAATAGTATATGATGATCCATCAACACTTAATTTGCAAGTAAATACACCTTCTGTGTAGAACTTAACTGCTCCTGGTCCTCCTAGTAAAGTTTTATCTTTACGAATTGTGATTTCATCTAACTTCAACATAAATGACCTTCGACAGAGATTCACATCACTACTAGTATCAACTAAAGCATTAGTTTCTACACCTTGTATATCAACTAATTTACTTAAACGATTAATAGGATATATGACATCATTAACTTGATTCACTTGTATTTTAACATTTTCATCTCTTTGACTTCTATCAGTATTTGGTCGACTAGTTGATGGACGATAAGAACATGATGATGCTTTATGACCAAATTCCTGGCATAAAAAACACTTAAATCCTTTACTAACATCAGTNAAAAAACACTTAAATCCTTTACTAGCATCAGGACAAGAACTAGAACGGTGACCCTTTGCACCACAGTTGTAGCAACGATTAATGTTTGCTGATTGACCTTCATGTTTATATGATTTAAATGAAGCATTAGGCAATCCATTCAAATATTTTTTTTCGCTGAAATTTATGTTTGACTTTGTATATGCCCTTACGTTTAACTTCATCTTCTCATACAGCNAGTCATACCATAGTATTATCGCCGTACTTGTACGATAAGTGTTGTAATGAACCAGATGATAACTAAGAGAATCTAGCATTAAAATTCATATATTTAGTAAAAATCGTAAAATGATTNTCAAGTTTCAATTTTAGCTCATCAATGGATGTAGCGCCATACAGTATCATCTTGTTGACTTCTAAGTCTCTTATACCAGCTATAATATAATCAATAAGAGAATCTTCTTTAATAGTGCCTAGTTGAGCAATCTGTTTCATCTTGAAAACATACTGCTGATACGATTGNTCGAGTTAATTCAGCTATAGCAATAAAACGATCGGTTCAATGAAATTTGTACTTAATACTTTTATTTCGTAAAATTTGATTTTAAACAATTTTANTTTCGTAAAATTTAATTTTAAACAATTTTTGTATGAAACATTAGGTCGTATCACATATGGTTCGTCATATATGATAAAATATTCGTAAATATGCTAATTTCGGCAATTTTACGAAATATTATGTATTTTGACATTTTTATAGAAAACTAATGGATTTAAAAGACAAACTGTAAGAACTTAATTTATACAAAACAATTAGATCTACAATTTAGTTTTAATATTTTTTTTTGTGAGTGTGCTAATTTACGAGTTAATTGCTAAAAACTAAAAAAGTACCCCTTTTGGCCGATTTTCAACTCCAAGTCGGCACGGGTTAAACTTATCTGATCGGCCTGGAATTTTTTGTAGCCACTTTTTATATGTATACACATAAATTTGGGGGGTGAGCCCGANCATCCCGAACTGTTATATAATCAAAAGGTTTAATCAAATTCAAATTGATGTTAGAAACCGATTAACAATAACTAGATCTCGCAAAAACGAACAAAGAAAAATTGCGTGTTTACTCAACCAAAATGGAGTCGTATACTAATACAATTACAAAAACATTTTATATATTTTCGTCACTAACAACACTTATAATATACACAACAAATAGTTTGAAATTTTCCGGATGTTGAGTAGACAAGATATCTTCTCCAATCTCCAATATTCCCGTTAGTTGACCGATGATTATCCCGGACAGACCCCCAAAAAANATATGTATACACATAAATTTGGGAGGTGAGCCCGAAGAATTTCCAAAATTTTCAAAATAAGGGACACCCTAATATATATATATGGGAAATACAAACAGGCAATTACAGGAACAGAGCGAAGACGCAATACTATTATTTAATTTATATATATATATATATAAATTAAAACACAAAAACTCTATTAAATGTTAACAAGCAAAAATAACACATTTATTTAATTACACACGAATACTCTATATAAAATATTCATACAACACAAAAATATTATATAAAACAGAACACACATATAAAATAAAGAATATACATGGAGACACGTCTTAGCCGACTCACGTCTGACTCACGATTTGACTTAATTTTACTTTCTTATAATACTTGATACCACTATCTATCTCCAGACCCTGGAAGTGGTGCCATCTAGATACCAATGGTACCCACATATATATATATATATATTGAGGGCTCAGAAGCCAATCAGTATAAGTCACTAAATATAGAAAATGAGATAATTGGGATTTTTCAAAACTTGTTGTAATAAAATAGAGAGTCTCGTAAAGGTACTAATAACTTTTTTTATTAAGATATAACATACTGAAAAATTTAAATCTAACACAGTATAATAAAAATGAAAGCGCAAGTTGAATTACCCAACTCAGTTTTCACAGAGAAGTGACTTACACTGATTGGCTCCTGAGCCATCCATATATCTGTGTGCATCAGTTCATGCACTCAAATTCATATCAAAATTATAATCTTAAAAATAAATGTTCAAAGCATTTAAATTATAAAACATGATAAGATGACTTAATTCAATACGTAAAATATTTTTATTTTATAAAGAAGATTAGTTTTTTCTTGTCCAATTTATACGTCTACTAATATTTTTAATAAATATTTATAGATATGAACTTCGTGATCATTCATATAATATGGAGAGAGGCATTGAACTTTTCAATAAACTTCTTCAGTATCCTGGTTGGCAATCATATCAACATGTAACTACAAATATCAATGGATTGAATGTTAGCGTTAAGGATTTAATATGTTTTTTAAATATTTCAAATTATTCTTATGTGCGATCAAGTATAATACAAACATTAAGATGCAGGTATATCGAAATAGGACTAACATTTAATGCTATTTTGGGAGCTATAATAAGTGTTTGCGATAAAGAATACGAAAACGAGTTTGCAGCTAAATTATATACAATTTTAGAAAAAGTCAACCTTACATTAAAAAATATGCTATTTGCTTTGGTTACATTGAGACAAACATTGAGAAGCATAGTAAAAAGAAAAAGACATACAACAAGTGAATTGCTTATAGAATCTATTATACAGTTAATTTGCAAATTAAGAAGTAAATATTATCCAGATATGTTTTATTCAAGTCATAGTTCTATTTTATCAAAATCGTTTTTCAGTGATATTACACAAGAACGTAAAGAAAATATAAATGATAAAATAAAATTAGCCACAAAGTATCATTTGAGGTATTGCAAAACGCCATTAAAAGTTATAAATGAACTTGCAATTAAGTTAAAATTTCATAATCAAATTCAAATTAATAATGAACTTGATAACAGAAATTTTTTTGAATCTTTATGTGGTTTTCTGTATACTTTTTGTAATGAAGTTCAAACTAACGATTATGAAAAACTTGGATTTGATAGTTTATCGCGCAGATTTTAAATAGTGCATATATACTGAATATTATAATTAATTATATTTATTTGATTAATTCGTGTGCTTTTTTTAAAATTTAATATGAAGACATTTCATACAAATAAAAAAACAAATTTTAGATATTTAATATTTGATTACATTTATACATTAGAATTGTAGTAACATTTTAAGAGATTTTACATAAAAGTTTCAATATTTTTATTGGTTACACTTCATAAAACAGTTAATATTAGTATAGTCCCAAATATGTAAACATTTTGAAAATTGTATAGGTATATTATAACTTTAATTTACTAAAATCAATTTCACGATTAAAATATACACGCTTTAATTGGTTTAAGTTATAATTACAATGGTATTAGAGCTGATAGTCTATGTAATATTTTGTATAGTATTAGTGTTTTAGTAATATGTATAATATGTTAACTATTAAATGGTCAAAATTATTTTATTCAATTCAAATGAGACATAATAACTAAAAATATATCTCAATTATTATATGAAAACAGTAACACACATTTTAAATATTTTCAAAACAGAACCCTTAAAATCGACTGTTTAGCTTCGATGCGAAGCTGAGGAGGTATTGGTTTTACTAAGATGTGTTTTTTTTTTTTTTGTGTCTGTTACCACTTTTTCTCAGATCTTACCGAACCGATTTCTTTCAATGATACGTCAAAAGATCACAAATCGTATCTAGTCGAAGACATTACCCTTAAAAATTGAAAAAAATTCCCTCGTTCTCCGTAAATGGGGGAATCCTCCAAAAAAATTANATTCCCTCGTTCCCCGTAAATGGGGGAAACCTCCAAAAAAATTACAAATTTAAAAATCGCTAATTTTCGAAATTTTTTCAATTTTTTTTACTTAAAAGTGCCATAACTTTTTCAAAAATGAACATATTAATATAATTTTTTTTATATAGATGCATAATATTATTACCTTTCATTTGGTATATTTTTTTCATAAATTTAACCCTTAACCTGCCCACAAGGGGGGATTTAAAATGACAACTTTTTCAACTTAACTTTTGAAAATGTTCCGGAAGGTCTGACACTTTTATATATATCTTAAATTAAAGCTAATGTAATATACTTTATTATGCAAAAAAAAAATTTCGGACTTTATTTTATCTTCACGGTGAAAATGGCTACCGAATGCTATTTTTGTGTGAAAATTTTCGATTTTGTATTTTACATTTTTAACTTTATTATGCTATAACTTTTTGAAAAATGTATGGATCAGTACAATTTTTTCATGAGGAGTAGTATTTATATACATCTTTTATTTGACATACTGTTTTTTTAATTCCGACCATTTCCCTATATACGAGGGGGGTTCAAATCTAAAAAATGCATGTAGAAAGTAGAACTTTTTCAACTTAAATTTTGAAAGTGTTCCGGAAAGTCTGACACATTATATCTATATCTTATTATTTATATATATCTTAAATTAAAGCTAATGTAATATACTTAATTGTGCAAAAAAAAATTTCGGACTTTATTTTATCTTCATGGTGAAAACAGTCATTAAACTTAAAAAAAAAAATACGATTTTTGTAAAAAAATTCTTTTTTATATTTTTAACTTTATAATGCTATAACTTTTTGGAAGATCTATGGATCAATATAATTCTTTTTTTTGTAGATGCATGATATCTTTACCTATCATTTGGTATAATTTTTTTATAAATCTGACTTTTTACCTGCCTACAGGGGGGGATTCAAAATGACAACTTTTTCACAAACAATTGACTTTTTCAACTTAAATTTTGAAAGTGTTCCGGAAAGTCTGACACTTTTCTATATATATTAAATTAAAGCTAATGTAATTTGCATCGAAGCGTTTTTTATGATAGTGATTTTAATCACTGTTAGATATCATTATAGTTGATCCATCTATGCCACGTCACCACTGTGCCGCGATCCCCCTGTGCTGGGTTTTTTTTTAAATTTGAACTTACTTACAAAATAAAGATTAATTCAGCAAGTACTTAAATTATGCTATTGTAGATTTTTGTAAAACTTATAGAATTTATTTAAAAATTGAAAAAAACTCAAAAATTGACAATGTCTAAAGAATAAGGTGTTTGATACCAGCCGGATTTATAGAGCGAAAAATAGAGCAGAAAACGAATGTAGCAGAGAGCATATAAGAAGGAGTATAGGTATAACGTTTTCCGTGAATAAGATGAGAGAATTTAGTCTTAGATGGTGTGGTTAAGTTATGAGGAGAGAAAAATTGGAAGCTGATAGAACAGTTATGGAAATTAATGTTAAAGGAAGAACAACTAGAGGAAGACCAAAAAAGAAATGGAGGGATGTTAATGAATGTGTAATGAGTACGGCTTATGTGTGCGTAGATGATATGGGAGATCGTGTCAATAGGAAGTTTAGGATAAGATTGCCTATCCCAAGTAGTTAGGATTAAGGCGAGGTAAAATTAGAAGACATTCCTATTAAAAAATAGTTTTTTGATTCATCTCTTATATCTTATAGAGGTGTTAACTTAATTTTTTTAAACGGTAACAAACATTAAACTGGATTATAATATAAAAAAATATTTAATTAAGAAAATAATTGGTCAGTAAATCTTTTGGACCAGCGTGTCTAAATATTGTTTCTAATTTTTGTACTTGGGAGGTAGAAGAAATGCAACCAATAAATGACTAATGATAAAAATCGCATCATGGGAGTTTTACCTCCAGTCTATATTTTAAAATCCTAATAACTTAATTAGTAAATTTCTTAATTAAATTATATTCTATATTATAAGCTAGTTTAATATGCATGTTTCCTTTGAAAAAGTAAAGTTCACACTCTTATAATATATAAATGATGGAACTATTATAAAAGATTGTTTTATAATAGATATGTAGATATATATGTATGTAACAAACATAATAAAATATATATTTTTAATAAAATTATTATTTTATAAAAAAAAATGTGTGGCTAGCATTAAAAGAATAATTTTTTATATAAAATTTTAACTTTTAATATACTAAATAATCAGTACGAGATGATTAAATTGATGAAGATATTTCATTATTTGTTACTAGGCTTCGCCTAGCTAGCGTTCTGCCCCAGACCCGCAGGGCTGCCTTACAGGTAGGCCACTGATTCCGGTAGGAGTACTCGGTTACGTCTGGCACTATAAGTGTTGTGTAAAAAAAGTATAATTTTAAAAGCAGTTTACCAGAAAAACTGGTAAACTGTAATCGTAACTGCAACTGGTCTCACTTGTAAATTAAATAATTATTAAAAAAATAATAATATAGCAAAAAAATATTTAGGTATATTCACAATTACACTTCATAATAACCTACTAAAAAGGGACGGTGTGGCCGAGTCTGTAAGGCGGTAGTGTTTGATGCGCACTGCCTCGGGATCGAAACTCGGTCACGGGCGACTTCATTTGTCGAACGAGAGATCAGTTCGGTAATTGAAGTCGCCATCTCGTCCGGCGACGGACTAACTACCCTTCCAGGAGTATAAAAGGTTAAGAAACCTCCTTCTTTGGGGTAAGCCGCTATGGCCTTTAATGGGCTGGTAAAGCAATAAAAAGAACAATCTACTAATGATAATTCATAACAACAGGTAGGCAAAAATTACATAACCTAACACAAAAATTAAACAAAATTGACATTTACAAAACAAAATAAATCATAATTATATCATACTAAAAACTATGCGCGTGGACTTAAAAAAACATCATAACTCGGTAAAAAACCAACAGATTTCATTGAAATGTCCACGGTATTTTTGGAATATCTCTGGACAGTCCTGGTAAAAATTTCAGATTTAAAATCAAAATGCTGGCAATAATGAGCGATTTTTAATCGCTTAATTATTTAATGATAATATTTTTAAACGTTTAGGTGTGCTAAAAAAAATGTTCTCACTTCACGAATAATTTTCTCAGAATAACGTCGTCGAGCTATATCATTTTAAAAAAAATTTGATAATCGGACATTGTTAAGTAATTTTTCTATCATTGGCTAACTTTTCAATGTTTTATTATATAATAAGATAGTGGTAGGAAAGATATCAGTTATATTTACTCATTATTGTTCATCATGATTATCCTCCATTGAAGTCATTTGATTCAAAATAATATTAAATCCACTTTGAACGCTTATACTCTGAACGGTAGATGTTCTTTAAGAACATTTTACAAATATTTTAAGTGCAATATTTTGTATTTATTATCTTTTATATATGACATGGCCCTTCGTCGTTTCGTGATACACGATGCCCCACGACCCGCGCCACCTTTATCAGCCGTCGTCCAACTATAAGTATCTGACTGGCCAACATCACGTGCCATACGCCACGGTGCAAAGTCCAGCAAGTGCCGCACGACCGACGACAACCTGCCGCAAATGATACGTTGAGTCTTCTTCAAAGTGACAACGTTCGTCTTTTCGGTTTGTTTGTTTTTTAAATTACCTGTTGTTGATAATATACGGGTCACGGGTCTCTACCCTCAAAACCAGTGTCGACTACATTATCGTGACGTATTTCAAGTCATATATTCTCAAAATATTAAAACAATTATTTTGTAAGCAAAATGTGAAAATATTTCAAAACGCATTTTGTTAGATATTTGGACAATAATATAATTTGATATTAATATATCAAAATTGCTTTATTGGTACCAGACAATACATTTGTGAAAGTGTATATTTATTATACACTTTTAAGCACATTAAATAAGTATAATTCATAAAATAAACACGGGTGTATTTAAGAAATAACTATTTAGAAGATATAGTTTATACTTTTAACCCTATCAATATAACATCTAAGTATTTTTTAATTTAAGAGGTCAATATGTTATTTAGAGATTTGAGTTTATAAATCATAATCAATCCAAGATTTTTGTTTTTTTGAAATGTTAACATTTTACGTAATGTTATGTTTATAATAGAGCAAAGTTTTAATAGAAGTATTTATTTCAATTTTTTAAAAAAAATTTTATGGGCAACAGTTAAATTAAACCACACTATAAATTGTATAGTGTGATGTATAATATATATTATTATAACTTAGCTAACCTATATTTCGTCACTTTAGAATGAAAAGTTTCTTACGTAACTTTTTTGAAAAATTATATTTTAAGCTTCGTAGTTATAATGAAAAATGTCTAAAAAATAATTATTATTTAAGAAGTTACATAATAAAAAGGTTACCAGTACTGAAAATTGAATTAAAAATGATTAAATTGCAATTTCTAGTTGTGACGTTGTTAATTTGAGAGATAGCTAGGAATAAAAAGTTCTATGTAACCAATTTCCATTTAAACAGCTATATATATATATATTTATATAAATAATTCTATCATTTATATTTAATTTAATATTTATATCATCTCTAAATGGCTGACCCCAAGTAGTTGGGATTTAGGCTAGGAAAAATAAGAAGGAGTTATATCATATCTAAATATATCTATTAATATTGATAATTTTTACAATTGTATCGTAAATCATCAATTATAAATAGAGTAAACATTTTTCAACATTTTAATTTATTTATTATGTTATTAAATTTAATTTTTAATAG